AGGTTAACTTCTTCAGGCTCCTTCATCATCCAAGAAGGCGGAAGGCAAGGAATCGAAGGAGACACCGAAAACGCAGAAGCCAAAAGAAAAGACTAAGGAAAAGCCAGAAAGCAGCAAAAAACATAAGGGTAAGAAAGAAACAAAGGAAAAAGATGGAGCGGATGCCAGTGAGCCCAATGAGGAATCAAAGTACAACTCTTTTAATAAGGTTTGTTTTTCAGTCCAATACATTTTCTTTCACGAATTGCGCAATTTAGTTCGCGAAACTATGTGAAGTCATTGCCACAATGTCGAAATACTCAGATAAATCAGCAGCAGTAAAGATGTTCATATCAAGAGGTAACAGGAATTTTCTATGTTAATATCCTATCTAGAGGTTTGCTTTCAGACGACTACGATGGTGATATGCTTACACTCGTTCGATTACTTCTACCAGGTGTAGATCAAAGGGTCTACAATATCAAAGAAAAGCAAATCATCAAGCATTTTGCAACGGTTAGTAAAGCTGCTTTGCAGCGTTGAATACTTATGCCGTTATCACAGATTTTTGATCTACCACCCGAGGATCTCTTGAACGAGTACAAAAATGATGGAGATGTTTCTAAAGTTATTCGTGATGCTATGGAGAAAAACAATTTGAGCAGAGTAACCAAGGGAAATTGGAGTATCGAAAAGGCAAGCAGAATAGTTGTATTCCACAAGATGCTGTTGTTTATCCAATAATTTAAAGTTCTTTTAGGCTCTAGCTCAACAGTTATATGTTTTAGGTTGATCGCTGGCTCAATAAATTGACCGAATTGACTAAAGATGATGAACAAATTGCTCATCTTAAGTTCGCAGCGAAGAGGTTCGTTACTATTATTGCTAAAGCTCAATACGATTAGAGAGAAAGGCTTAAAGTCGAAAACATCTTGCTTTTCTTTTCTTATGAAGAATGCCAATTTATGGCTTTACCTCCTATAAGGTTGCAAATTTGCTGAAAACTAGTGTTATCAACTCTACATCAATATATCTTCTTGAATTTGTCAGAGTCACAAGGCATTGAGAGAATAAACGCTATATTTTTATACTAGATGTTCAGTTTGCCTCTTACATAGTGAACCCTTACTTTCAGAATGTCTCCTCTGGAACTGCAGTATCTTCTGCGTCTAGTTATGAAGGATCTACGAATCAACGCTGGTGTTAAACATATCCTTGATGGACTGAATTCCTGCGCTTATGAGGCATTTCAGAGCTGTCGTGATTTGGCGGAGATAGTCGATAGGTATGAGATTCCCAGGAATATCCAAAACAAACCAAGCGTTCCTTTCAGAGCTAAGAAGGGCCAGTTTGGCGATATAGCCATTACTATGGAAGTTGGTATCCGTCTTGGAACTCCTGTACTGCCTATGCTGGTCAGTTATATTATTAGAGCAATGTATCGTGAACACATAGCACAACGCTAACCTCATTTATGTCCTTTATCAAAAAGAAAAAAAAAACTTTTATTTGTTCTCCACAGGCTGAACCTTGCAAGTCTGTTGAACAAGCAATGAAAAGATGCCTTAACGGAATGTTTGCCGAGATTAAATACGATGGAGA